TTGGATGAAACAGTGGTATGATAGTATCAATAGTAGTATTATGTCTTATGAGTACCTCATTTAATTTCCAAATAATAAGGCAAGATCCTTTGCTATTAGGAGACAATCATTCGTACCAGCTCATGACACATTATCTGATAATTCTATTGCCCATAATGGAATGGATCTAACAAAAAAGTATCAGATCAAAGAGACCTTTCAGTCTCTTTGGTCTCTGAAAGATCTTTCATCCATTCAGAATACTTTTTGTAGTTTTGCTAGATCTTAAGTGAAAGAATTGTAGAAACATAACCAAAGAAAGAACAGCCTGCCTTCAGAAGTTGTGAATGCTCCAACACTGGAAGTTTTTAAGAAGAGACTGGACAGCCATTTCTCTGAAATGGTATAGGGTTTCCTGCCTGAGCAGGGGGTTGGACTAGATGACCTCCAAGGTCCCTTCCAACTTTACTATTATTATTATTATTATTATTATTATTATTATTATTATTATTATGGATCATCGCACAGTCAGCCAGATGTTCAGACTGGATTTGGCATTTTGTCTACCTATCGAGTCCTTACCCAGGACCTGGGATAGGCAGAGGTGGATGTTTGATGGTATTACAGAGATCGTCGCAGGATGGAAGCAGTTCCTAATAAGGCTGCCTTTTGCAATTGACTAATAGCGAATTTGTCAATGCCAATGGTGTTCAAGTGGTGCTCCAGTTGTTTTGGGATTGCGCCCAAGGAGCCTATGACTATTGGTAATACCCTTGCTTGCTTTTGCCACAGTCTTTCTATTTCTATTTGTAGGTCTTTGTATTTTGTTATCTTCTCCAGTTCTTTCTCTTCTATTCTGCTATCTCCAGGCACTGCCACGTCCACCACTACTATTATTATTATTATTATTATTATTATTATTATTATTATTAAATAAGTTTATGAAAGTTGTCTTCTTGAGACATATTTATTATTATTTAATTCCAGCTTTTTTTCTATGAGATCAGGAATGTGTCCATTTGGAAAGGCAGATCCTTCAACCTTTTGCATATTGAGGCCTATCTTATTGCTGGGAGATAAAAGTAGGATTTTTTTCGCATAATTCCTCAGCAAATGACTAGAGTAATGTTATGAATAAGCCAAGGGTGGGTGAGGGGAATTGAATTACCTTTTTATAATCAGCTATTGAGAATTAAATAATTTGGCTGGGGATCAGAATGGATTTTTCTTCCAGAGCAATGTAAATGACCACTCAGGTGTGTATGTGGAGTATAACAACTTAATAAAAGCATCCTATAAAATGCTAGTCAGTCCTGGGTGCTAATGGTTTGAATGGACAGAATTTGTTCTTTGATTGTAGATTAGAGCATCTGACCTTTGCTTCTGAGAGTTCAGAAGGAAGAATAGATAGGGAATTTAAACAAACAGAGGAAAGTTACTGGAAGCCCCTAGCTGATAGCACCGCAGTAAAAGTGTATATGGTTTGTCTGCCCAGATATCCAAAGGCTTAAAAAGGTCAGAGGAAAGTCTACTTGCTAAGACAGCCATTGTGAAAACTGAGGTCAATATATTAGTCAAACAGCTTCTTTAGCCCTGGCCAGGGCTTTTTTTTTTTTTTGTCATACAATGCCCAGAATGGAGTTCCGGCACCTTTTTGGGATGGAGCTTTGTAGGGTAGGCAAGGTGGTTGTATGACATGTGTGAGTTCCAGCACCTTTTTTTTTTTTTACAAAAAAAACACTGGCCCTGGCAGTATCAGCTATGAACAATATGTAACACAAAGCCGTTTGTTGAACAATGGGCTATCATATTTCCATTCATGAATAAAGCTTTGCACTTGTATTCCTTAATAGAACTTCAGTGTTTCTCTCCAAAAGCATCTTTTATATGTCATCCTTCACAACCAAATTCACAGAATATGTGAAGTGTTCATGCTTTTGAAAGAGCAAGCAGAGACCATATAACAAAACTAAATAACTAGGGTCACTTACAAGTCACAAAATCACTTCTCCCAAAAGAAGAATAAAGGCTAGTGGTGGAAATTTCTAGCAGCAGACTTATCTTTGGAAATCAGTATTGTAATCTTTATTGATGTGCAATATAGTTCACTATGGACAGAACACTTCAAAATCAAAAGTATGTAATTTATTGGGAGCTACAAAATCACATGAGACTGTATGAAACATTTCAGCAGAATACAGGTAGTCCTCGACTTACAACAGTTCATTTAGCAACAGTTCAAAGTTACAACAGCATTGGAAAAAATGACTTATGACCATTTTTCATACTTATAACCATTGCAGCATCCCCATGGTTACATGATCTACATTCAGATGCTTGACAACTAACTCACATTTAGGACGGTTGCTTGGCTCAATTGTGATCGTTAAGTTGAGGACTACCTGTATTACTATTCTTCAGACTATATAGCACAAAAAATTAGGAGAAAGTGAAGAAAATTCCTGAAATTAAGCCACATATTACTGTCACAAAATCTACAGTTCAAAGTCACTCTGAGATGGTTTTCATGGATTGTACACATTGCTGACAGAAAATAGCATTTGGATAAAGTTACATCTTGTATTCAGGACAAAAGAAGTGTTGCTTCCATAGACCAGTATACAAAGATCAACAGTCCTGTGCTTCAAGAATAAAATAAAGAATACAGTTCAAATGAAGAAATTTCCTCTGTTCAAATAAATATTTTTTTTGTACTGTGGGCCAATATGTCATTGTTAACATTTTGTAGTTATTAATACATCATGTGAGATAAAGATAGTTTTTAACTGACACTGAGCAATTCTTCTCAATTAAATATTCTTGGAATATATGTATTTTTTGTTTTATTTTATTTATAGTATGTCTAAAAGGGAGTTATATAATGGAAGAGTGAAGGCAACATTTGATATTTTAAATCCTATGACAAATGGTTATGTAGCTTCTGGGTTATTTAATATTGTTACCATCCATGAAAGTGCTTCCATAGTTTTCTCAACATTTGGGGGTTCATAGAAAATGATTATGCCATGTTGACAAGTGTCTTTTGTGTCACTGATGAACAAGAAGTTCTAAGGACTATATGACTTGGGGGTGGTGTTTGTTGTTGTTGTTGTTGTTTTGATATTTGGTGATTTTATTTCCCGACAGCCAATTTAAATGTTATTTAAGAAACTAAGGTGTGTTATTAATATATTATCCTTTTTATGTTGTACTTACTGACTTACAAGTCTTTTTGCATTTCTTTCCATTGTTTATACATGCAAATTAAATGTTAAGTACTTTGTTGAACGTGAACACAATTGGAATAATACATACAATGAAAATCAGATCTTTTGTGGCAAAAAAACTTGAAATCTGTAAAACAAATAATTACAGGAAAGCAATGCATTGAAAAAATATTTATTTAATTTTTTCAAGGAATAATCTGCAACTTTGAATTAAAAAGTATTAATTATTAATCAGTGGAAATTGAAAATTTCTTTGAGAGCTCAAGGATTAGATAACACAATGTAGTTCACAAGGGAGAAATAACTTTGCTAGCTAGAACACAAAATTATGATAATATAATTATTCTGATAAGTGAAAAAATGAATTGGGAATAACTAAATTAAAATTAACAAGTTCTTTACTAAGGAAACAAATATTGAATGCACAGGATGGGGAATATTGTATCTGATTGGATGATGCTGCCTGAGAAAAAAGATCTTAGAATGTAGTAACTTATTACAAATTGAATATCAATCTGTAATATAAGGTATCTATAAAGAAACCTTAAAGGTTTCTTTAAGAAAGAAAGGTAAGAGTAATTGTAGCCATTACTAGGCTGGATTATTTTCTTAATCCTAAAAAGTAGTAGTTTCTGTTGATTCTTTGTTGGAAAGACTCCATCACAAGTACTGTGACCAGTTCTGACAAGTATTTAAAAAGAATTCTAAGGTCTAAGAATAGGAAAATCTAGGTTTTCATCTTTCCTTATGTCTAAAACTATCTGGGCAGCTTTGAGCAATCACTCTCTCTTAGCCCTAGGAATGAGACTATGCCAAACCACGTCTAAAACTGTGGCCAAAAAGACTTCATTGATCAGTCCATGTAGTCATTGAAAGACAGGATTGTTTGACTCAAAGGACCATAACAACAACACAATAGGTCAGAGGAGGGCAATGAAGGTGGTCAAAAGATTAAAGTCTTGTGAGGACAAATTGAAGGGTTTAGAATTGTTTTGCCTCAAGGAAGGAAAATTAAAGATGAATATTATAGCACTCTTACACTACTTAATAGTTTGTCACAAGAAAAAATACCAAGACCTGTTATACATCATTCCAGAATGCAGGGTACAAAGACTTATTTCAGTTTTCACATGAAAGCAGGAATGTGATAATGAATTTAATAAATAAAAAGAGAAAATAATGTCAAGAAAAATGTTCTTAAAAGTAAGAGCTCCCCCTGAATGTGTTAAGGGAGAAGTTGGACAACCATATGTTCAAGATAATTTTAATTTGTTGAAAAAAGTATTCATCCCGGTTCATCCAAGCCGGGGATAAATAAACAACATGGTGACTGCTCTAGAAAGAAGGTTGCAGTTTATTGAAGAGCCAGAAAGATGGTTCTTGCAGGAAAGAGGAGAGAAAAAGAAGGCCGAGCACATGTGGGAAGTAGGTTTTTATAATCTCTGAAGTCTTTTGTTTGGAATAGTTTCTTGTTCCTGTGTTGAGGCTTTATATTTCCTGTGTCACGTATTCTGACCTGAGTCTGGGTGTGCCTTTCTGGTATTCTTGATGGTGGTGGGTTAATCCTATTGTCATGTCCTGCTTCCTTGGTGATGGGGCTAATGACTCCTAGAGTTTGGATGGGGTATGCAGATTTTATGTGTCTTTGTCTTCTTGATCTCCTAACTGGGCCCTTTCTGATGGTTTACAACTGCATTTGTACAGAGCTGGCTTCTGCTTGGGACAGAGAGACTTGGGGGCAGGGTTGGTTTCTGCTTTTAAAATCCTTTTGAGGAAATATATTTTTCTGCCCTTTTAATATTTCCTTCTCTGGGGAGTTGACTTCCCTCAAATTTGTACAGGTCTGTGATTTTATGATTCATACACATCTTTCCTTCTATCAGATAAAGAAGAAAAAATATTTGATAGAGATAGGATGAGCAGAAGACATACTTGTACTGGAAGGAGAGAACAGAAAAAGAAGTGAAACAAAAGCAGTATGCAAATTAGGCAAGCAGAGAGGTAATTTGACAGATAAGGAAGGGAAAGGAAGACAAAGGAAGTCTTTGTATCCGTTTCCCTTATATAGAAAGGATGAGTATCTACAATGAAGCAGAAGACGAGAAGCTATTTCCATTTTTGTTGCCTCATCAATGTCTCTTCCACAGTGCTGCAAGTTTCACCGACCAGATGAATAAACAATTTTATTTGACAGTCACCCTCATCACTGACAATCTCAAAACGCTGGGAGCAAGAAACAAAGAAGGTCATCGACCCACTCCTTATCTCCAATCCACAGAAGAGGAAAATAACATAAATTGCCAATCCTTCATCTCATCCCATCAACAAATTAGTTGAGCCTGTGAGTTACTGTCAGCTTATTATGGTTGGGTTTTCGTTACTTGCCCTTGTTATTTGCTTTTTTGTTTGTTATATTTATATTTCTCACTTTTTATTCTATTGATGTTTTGAACTACTCAAAATTACTTCACATGTATGGCCATGTAAACTGAATAAAACAACATTCATATCATATTCCTTATCGTGCACATTTGAGCTCAAGAAAAAAAAAGGTGAGTAATTCAACTTGCTATGAAGAACTTCATAAGATAGCCAAAGTCTAGGAAGTAGCAGGTGGAGTAAAGCCAGAATTTCAAGGCCAGTGAAATCTACTATTGTCTACCTATTATGGCTGACAATCTACTATTGTCAGCCATAATAGGTAGATCAGGCACTCTACATGGGACTATAGGCACACCTCCTCAGTAGCAGCTCCATCCCTTTGGAACAGCTTCCTACCTGATATCTGAGGGATCCCTATCCTTTTAGCCTTCTGGAGGTCTGTGAAGATCTGATTCTTCCTCCAAGGAATGGGCAAGGATGGGGGTTGAGCTGCAAGGATGTTTGGTCAGGGAAGGGTGCTTTTGTTTTTAACCATGTTTTTATTGTGAGCCACCTAGAGTTATTATATGACGTAAGTGAACATATAAGTCATGTAGGTAAATATTTTTTTTCTTTTTACAACCCTGAAATCCCTTTTACTAGGGTGGAGTCAGGGCAACTGAATGGAGCTGAACATTTACTGTGGCATCCTGACACCTATAAATAACCTAAGTAAATAAATAAATATATACTGTATATAAATAAATTCTCATGTACAGGTGGTTTAAGAAGGCAGAAAATTTCAATTTTCCATTTTTCCCAAGTCCCGATTTTCAATTTCCTGAAGAAGGATGTCCACATCAAACCATTTTTTTTTCAAAATTATTAAATGCCCATTGTGACATCATGATTCAGTCTCCACACTTACATATCAGTGTGTGAAAGGAGATGATTCTGTATCATGACATCATGATGCAGATTTCATATTTGTCCTACCTGCAAAGCTGAGGTTTGTGGCTCTTTTGGGGGATAATATAGCATTTTCTTGACACAGGAAAATGCTCGTATTTCAGAATTTCCATGTCATAAATATTCTTACAATTTGCTTTAATAGGTTTTTTTTTTAATTTTTAGAGTGATCCATAGTTCTTTGAAGAACAAAAACAAGTTGATAATTCTGCTAAATATATCCAATCTCCATACAAGATTTTATTATGGAAAGTTTCATCTTCACATTATTAACTGTAGTAAGAAAAATATAGCATTAAATAATGAAAAGTTTACTTCATTTACCATCTCTTTAACAACTTGCAGTTACCAAATATGAAGTACAGGTAATCTTCAACCTACCACTACAACTGAGTCCAAAGTTTCTGTTGCTAAGTAAGAAAATTGTTAAGTGACTTTTTTCCTATAATGTGATTTTCCTTGGTATAGTTGTTAAGTGAATCACAACAGTTGTTAAATTAGTAACATGGTTATTAAGTGAATCTAAGTTCCCCATTGCCTTTGCTTATAGAAGGTCACAAAAGGTGATCACATGACCATGGGAAACTGCAACCATCATAAATACATGCCGGTTGCCAAGTGTTTGAATTTTGATCACGTGGCTATGGGGATGCTGTACTAGTTATAAGTTTGAAAAATGGTTGTAAGCCACTTTTTATTAATGCCATTGTAACTTTGAATGGTCACTAAATGAATGATCGTAAGTTGAGGACCTCCTGTAGTGATTTCTTTAAAGCTGAAGAAGCTTTTTGGATGAGTAGCAAATCATCTTCAAAGAAAAACAAGAAAGTCCAGTTGCCTCCTGAACAAGCACCCTTGAGACAACCATGACCTGGATGACTGAGAATCTCCATAGACTTACCTGTAGTGACATCGGGAACCCTGGAACATCAAGCAAAGCGATTAAAAGATCAAAGCAAAGCAAGTAGTAACTCTTTCTTTAAAAAAGGTGAATTCAGTAATGCAGTTTCACCCAACTATTGCCTTCCAGATGTGCAGGGGATGTGGCTCCTAGCAGATTATTTATTTTTGAATAAGTAGCTGCTTTTTCTTAAATATTAGAAGTAAATTATCCCATTAGATTTTTAATTTTCCTAACTTTTCTGTTGTTGGGTTTTCTTTTTCTTCAATAAATGTGAGGATTCTCCCCATTCTGTTGATATCTCTATTTTGTATGGAAATGATGCCATTTTGGCAACATAAGGTCCTACCCTGGAAAATTTGTGCATAATGAATACATAAAAGCATTCATTAACAAATAGCCCAAAAATTAAAAATCAGAAATATAGCCAAATCAAAAATATAAGAAAAGAATCCTGATCAATATCTAATAATTCAGATAGTTTTCCAAGTTTCCATGGTGTTTCTCTGTCATTTATCTCATCTGATGTATAGCTATACTTTGTGACACACACCCAGTGAACATGAATATTACTCAATATAAATGTCTCTATTTTCCATGTTTTGATCTTTCTTTCAAGTTTATTTAGCTAGGCCTTAGTGGTATAGTGTACACATCCTGTATTCATTATAAGCTTTTCTATGAGTGATGTTCTATGGAATTTCTGGAAGAATGAATAAAGGCCTTTAAAATGTTTCAGACTTCCAGACACTCCTAGAGACCACAGGCTATTTGTGTAGCAAGTAGGAATACAATATTTAAAGGACATTAAAGAGGAAGGGTGGAGAAATACCTTCTTTCTTCTAGGAAGTTATTAAGCAACTAAGGGCTAAGGAGCCAACTGGCTCTGTTTTCTTGCCCTTTGTTTTTCTGACACGTTACTTTGACTGCTGAGGACTACAAAGAGCAACCCTGCAAAGTCTGACACAAACAAATGTAGGTCAGAAGCCAGCAGCAATATGTCAGAATTTCAATTTCAAAAAGCTTTTTGAGATACAGACACTTTGTAAAACATGAAAAAAACTATAAAACATTTACAGGCACCTCGTTCGGCCTAGACCTAAAAGCTAGATTTCTGAACCCTATATATTCAGTTGGACTCTTATTAAAGCTATAATTTCTTTTAGCCATTTCCATCTTTCTTTCCAAATTCAACTATTGATTCACTTCACAATGAGAACTCATGACAAATTTAATGCTTTAACTTGCCCTTGATAGTCTCTTTTTAGGCAGCCTATTTTATCCACATTTATTTAATCCATTATTGAATGCAATTCAACTTTTCCTTCAATGAAAGAACAATTACTCAAGCATGGGATGGGTTCAGTCAGAAATGAAGAATAATTCATGAATAATAATTAGTGTTCACGCTTCCTCTTTTAGATTGCCTTAATGGAATTTATCTCTGCAGTTATTTTAAATGGGAATTTGCAGAAGGCATCCCGAACTAAAGGATATTATCATGGTCATTTCAGCATGGGTTTTATTTTTCCTGTTAACTAAATTTAATAAGCATACAGATTTGATATCCATTAAGAGAAATGACTCAGAAAGTAATGGCTATGACCAATTCAAATACCTCTAAAAAAGAAAGGATTGGTTCTAGGGAAGGCATTTCATGAATTACAGGATTCCTATCACATGGAAAATGCTGCTGATCTAGCAGAGTTTATGTTGCGTAGAAAGGAGAAGAGAAAAGACAATTGCCATCATGCTTCATGAGGACCATGTACTGTTGAGTCCTTGGCGCAAAGCAGACACGAGAAGCAGTTGGAGTTCTCAGTTTTCTTTATTCTGCGTTCAGCTTACAAGTAGATGGCTTCTTAGCTTCCCAAACGCTCGCAGCCTCTTATATAGGCAACTCCCAGGTAAATGTGTTACTTTTCCCGCGCCAGCACCCGCGCATGCGCACGGCGCTGGCGACAGCCTGTCTGGTCCTGGGCAGCCTTGCACCTGCCCGGGACTGCCTGCAAACGCCCGAGCCGTTTGCAAGGCTCGGGACATAACACCCCTTTCCCCCGGGCTGAAACTACTACCAACATATAATCATTTGTTCTATACAGCGTTCCGCTCCCCAGTGCTTCCACTGTTGGCTGGCTTTTGCTTTGCCAGCAATGTTATATAATCCTCTAGGTACTTAGGAGATTTCTTTGCTCTCTGTGACCTTCTCAGCTCTGGGTTACTAGTAGGAGTTCCCTGACTGGAGGGAGATGTGAGCCTGTTCTCCTTATTTTGTCTTGGTGCCTTTCAAGAGCTGTGCCCTGATGCCTGGCCTGCTTGCTCGCCCACCGGGCTCGTCAGGCCAGGGCTTCTGTCACTTTGTGACCTGGTTGACCTGCCTAGCTGTAGACCCTCGGGCCCCCTGAAGTGATAGCCACTGCTGGGCGTCTCTGTTGAACCTCCTAGGTCCGTCCAAGACCTGTCAGGAGGCTGTCCATTCCCTGAACCCCGTTCTGTGTCCGGGCTTGTGTGGGTTTCTGTACTTTCCCAAAACTCAGTTACTCCCTGATTTGGGCTAGAGGTGTTGTAGTCGGGACTTGGTTCCTCGACCACCTCCCTGTATGTTTGACCCCCTGTAGGATTTGGGGTAAGGTCAGGCCAACCTTGGGAATTGTGTGCCAGCTCTCTTGCGGGGAATGATTTGTTGGGATGCCCCCGGGTATCCTCCGTGACTGGAGTGCTGTGTGATGTGTGTGGAAAGTGAGTATGCCCCCGGGGTGACTCCCTGGCTGGAGTAGGCGTGGATGCCTGGTAGTTGGGTAGGCTCATAGAATTCTTGTTCGGAGCTCTCGCGGAACCCTGGAATGGGCCGTTTGTGGCTCCATCAGTGGAGATGGGCAGCAGCTCGTGCCCTTCCCTTTGCTCCAAAGGGTCCCCCTCCCCCCTGGAAAAGACCCAGGAGTCTCAGCTGGAAGATGCCGCCTAGGGCGGAGTTGGTCGATGTGCCTGCGCAGGACACGACCGTTGTCCAGAGCTACCTCGTAGGATAGAGGACCCGTGACCCTGGAGACAGAAGCGGGGACCCATGTATGACCAGGCCCGTAATTGCGAGTCCAGACCGGGGCACCCTC